GTTAACACCCAATTCAAGTCTTCATACATGTACGTACTTTGGATAATGATGTCCATCACATTCCACTGTCCTTGCTAATCCCCTGCCCCCTCCCTTTCCCTCCCACTTCTTCCCTATCTAGAATTCATCTATTCCTCCATTGCTCTCCCTCCCTACTCCACTATGAGTCAGCCTCCTTATATCAGAGAAAACATTTGGCATTTGTTTTTTTGGGATTGGCTGACTTCACTTAGCATTATCTTCTCCAATGCCATCCATTTATCTGAAAATGCCATGATTTTATTCTCTTTTAATGCTGAGTAAAATTCTATTGTATATAAATGTCACTTTTTTTTTTATCCATTCACCCACTGAAGGGCAGCTAGATTGGCTCCCAGTTTAGCTATTGTGAATTGTGTGGCTATAAACATTGATGTGGCTGTGTCCCTGTAGTATGCTGTTTTTAAGTCCTTTAGGTATAGTCCGTATTTATAGTCCATATATATTTCCATATATAGAGAGATATCTGGGTCAAATGGTAGTTCCATTCCCAGATTTCCAAGGAATCTCCATACTGCTTTCCATATTGGCTGCACCAATTTGCAGTCCCACCAGCAATGTAAAAGTGTGCCTTTTCCCTCACATCCTCGCCAACATTGAATGTTGTTTGCCTTCATAATAGCTGCCATTCTGACTGGAGTTGTTACCGCTGTTGACCGGTGACAAGTCCTCGCTTCCCCAATGTTGAAGAATAACACCAGAGAAGCACGCCAAGGCAAGGTGAGAGTGGAAAGTAGAAGTTTATTAAAGGACAGCAGAAGACTTCTCCCGGAGGGAGGAAGACGGGAACCCAAGAGATGGAATCCATGGAAGTGCAGTTGTTTCCCCTTTTTGTATTTCTTTCAGTGATGGAATGTAGGTGGGAAGGCCCGAAGGGTGAAGGGTGGGGCACAGGTGGGCCAAAGAAGTAATCTTCATTAACATTTCTTTGGGATGGGCTCTGGGCCTTGGGGACATTAACATTCCAAGAGTTGTTCTGCTTTTCCCGGAATTCATTCTCAACATGGCCTCCATTTTGGATCTTACATGATATTAGACCCGATTTACCTAACTACACTGACTTCCTAACTTTAAATCTGGCTTCAGAGTGAGATGATGTGCATTTCTCTGATTGCTGGAGATGATGAGCATTTTTTCATATATTTGTTGATTAGCTGTGATAGAATGTCCTGGGTTCAATACCCAGTACTGAAAAAAACTAATCTCAGGTCCAAGATAGCAGTTTTGAAATAAGGCAGGTGTCCTCCTTTTAGTAGCTTCCGCCTGAAGACTGGAAGGCATGAACTGTTTCTGAAATTGATCTGCAGGGCCTTCACCCTATGTGATTTCCTATGTGGTTTCACATAGGAAACCACCATTATCAAATGGCCTTAGCCATCCTTCAAAAGGTTAAGACCAAACACATAAGTAAGACAGAGAACATCACTTTTTGTTATTTTGTGGTACTGAGGATTGAATTCAGGAGCACTTTATCACTGAGCTACATCCCCAGTTTTTTTTTTTTTACTTTTTGAGACAAGGTCTCACTTATTTGCTGAAACTGGCCTTGAGCTTGCAATCCTCCTGCCTGGGCATCCCAGTGCCCTATTTTGTATTTTTGAGATAGGGTCTTGTTAATTGCTTAGGGCCAAAGTTGGGGAGGCTGTCCTTGAACTTTCCATCTTTCTGCCCATAGGCATGCACCATTTTTCTAGGCTGTTTTGTCTTTATATTTTAATGTTAATGTGGCTTGATTATAGTCATGTTCAACTTATATTTTAAGCACAATATCTATCTGCTCATGGTACACATTTCACTTATGAAGTAAAAAAATTTTTTTTTTTTTTTTGCTGTGCTGGGGACATGCAGTGTCTCACACATGCTAGATAAATGCTCTATTGCTGAGCTTCACCCTTATCCTTTCCTGTATCTTTAAATGCAACCTCTTTATATGTTACCCTCTACCCACCAGCTGCAGGTGCAGGCACAGTGCCCAGTACTGAAAGGCTATAAACAGTATAAAAATTGGTCTTTGGCATCAATAAGCTTATTCTGGTGGTTTCCATTGATGGGAATGGGCCCCACAAAGATTATGCTAGGTCTCAAGCAAGCAGGGTGAAGACTGGGAGAAACCAGAGAGCATGTGTCTTTTCCAAAAGGGGTAGCCACTGCCCAGCTACAGCTGTTTCTTATTCAAGGAATGCAGACCCAGCACTGCTAGATTTCAGGATTTTTCAAGAGAAACTAGAAATCCATTTTTGCAAAAGAAATTTGTTGTTGCTATCTATACTAAACTAAAAACACATAGCTGGATTTGACCAGTCTATGGCTATTGTAGTAGTTCTGAGCATGGTCTCTGGTTTTAAATTCTGGCCCTACTATTCATCTGCTGTGTACAGTTGAGGGCCCCAGTTCTCTTCATCTATAAAATGGGCTTCTACCCTTATAGAATGGGGTTCTACCCTTATAGGCGTCCGAGCTTTCCCAGGATTCTTATGTGGATCAAATGAGATGCTGAAAGCCCTTAGTAACATGTGAACTCCTCATAAAGCTTACAGGTTACAGTGATTGAATGGATTTCATATGAAGATAACAGGAAAGTTCATTGGGACAGTGGCATTTAGGGATCCGAAGATTAAACAGTGAACTGGGTGGAGACGTGAGAGGGGAGGTGGCAAAGGGCATATCAAGTCCAAGAAATGCACTTGAGAAAGCCCTGAAGCTACATTAAAGTAATGAGGATAGACAGCAGACAGGCAATTCTGTGGAAGCCAAGAATTTCCTGACTTCTGACAGTGCGCGCTGCAAGGAACCTCAGTTCAGCTTAAGTCTAGTCCCTGCAAACTTGGGACTTTACACTACGTTGGCCAGCGTTAACTTCCCTGACAAAACCACACCCACCAAGTCTTCCGCAGGGCCCCCAAACGCAGAAGAGAGAGGGAAGCAGAGGGGGCTGGTTTGGGGTCAGCAGTGAGCAGTTTTCTAGACGGAGGAAGATCTAGAAGGCAGGTAAGACGGGGCAGAGGTGGAAAGCAGTCCCATTTGCATTGGCGACTGAGGGTCTAAGAAGAGCCCTCCAAGGTTGACTGGAAGTCAGGCAAGGCATTAGAGTGGACAGCGTGCAGCGCCTACAATTTCAGGTTGAGGTATTTGGCCAGTTTGTAGGAACTCAGTTAAATGGAGAATGGGCGCCCCCTGGGAGCAGTACTAGGTAGTGAATGCTGGAGGACCCAGATGAGGAGGGCGGGGAGGGGGCGACTCAAGATGGGGGTAGTCTGCCCGTCACAGTTTTCTTCTCACAGAGGCTAACTGTGTCCGGCATGATGGATTCCTGGGCTCCCAGAACGGCTGGGCTGGAAGGGACCTCGAAAAAGGAACTACCGTCACGTGCCCCGTGCCAGAGCTGGGCACTTTCGTGAACATTGTCTTAACACTTCTAACTCTGCTTCGAGGTGGGTATCATCATCCCCAATTTTCAGGTGAGAAAACCGAGATTTGGTGACTTCCCAGGGCGGGGCGGGGATTTTGTGTAATTCCTGAGTCTTTTCCTTGGAGCCTCGTGACTTGTAAAATACAACCTCTGGATTCCCAGAGGTTTAGGGGAACAAACATTGGATGTGAGGCGTCCGAGCTTTCCCAGGGAAAACAGCGCTGAGTACTTTCCGCGAGAACCACGCCTCCCTTGTCGCGACAATATTGATCACTGTTGCTTTCCTTTAAGAGCCTTCCTTTGAAATATGAAATCCTCACCACACGGGGAGGCGGGCATTCTGTGTTCCTGGATTTCTCAGATGTTTGTCTCTCACCCGCACCGATACCCACTGGTGACACCAATTCTCCTCCACTGGCGAGTGAAAGCTTGGGACTACATTTCCCTGCAAGCCATTCAGAAAGGGATGGCGAGGAGAGGCGGAAAGAGACTTTCCGTTTCCGTTGGCTCTCAATTAGGCATGTCGGCGGTGATGCACTTTTCAACAGCCAACGTTCTTTCTCTGTATAGAGCTCAGAAAGGGACTACGTCCCCCAGCAGGCACTGGAGCGGAGGTCGAGTTACCAGGTTGCCATTATTACTGTAGTCCTCTCTCCCATTTCCGCAGGGAATAGTCTTAGCGTTTGGACTACAAATCCCATGCCGCCATCCCTTCTTTCCCTTGGCCGCCATCTTGGTTGTAGTCCCCGCCCCATCCCTTCCATTGTCTGGACTGAAGATAATAGAGGGGAGCCGAGAAGACTGCAACTCCCGTCAGGCTTTGCGCCACCGGGTGCGGGATTTTGATATTATAGGCGGGCAAGACGCTCAAGGTGGCCGAATGAAGCGACCAGGAAAGGCTAGGTAGCCTGCCATCTTTATGGTAGTCTCTTCATCCCACCGGTTCCGCCATTCTTAAGGAATACTAGAAGGCTAGAAAACTACTATTCCCATCGCACCTCATAAGATCGGCAACTAGTCAGGTGTACGCCCCTCTTCCGCCATCTTGCTTGTAGTCCTCGTTTCTTTTCACCTTTCCATTGTTCCTGACGAGTAGAAATGGCAGCGGGAAGGCAGCAGATGGACTGCGACTCCCGTCAGGTACTACACACGCGGAGGGTTGTGGACAAGAGGGCGTGTGAGTGCCTGGGAAGGAGGTCGGGTCGGGGGAGAAGGCCATCTTGTTTGTAGTCATCGTTCCCGCTCCTTCTCTATGTTCTACAACGGGAAGCCTCAGGGCAACCGGACTATAACTCCCGGCATCCTCGGTTCCCGGCTTGGCACGCCCTCTGCCATCTTGTTTGTAGTACCCGCTGGTCCCAGCGTCCCATTTTTCCCACGGTAGCGCCAGAGTCCGCAGGACTACAACTCCCGCCGTGCCCTGCACGCGTTCGTCCTGGAAAGTTGAGGTGGTGGAGGAAAGAGGGGGCAGGGGGCGGGGTTCCTCCGGGAGAAGGAGGGAGTAAAGAGGAGGAGGAGGAGGGAAGGAGGAGAGAGGGGAGGGGGAAGAGAGAAGGAAGGAGGAAGGAGCTGAGGAGGGATGAGAGAGGCGGCCAGGGCCCCGGGCCGAAGCAGCGCGGGGCCGGGGGACCTGGGGGGCTAAGGCACCCCAACTGCCCCCTCCCCCTTCCTTGCTCCTCTCCATCCATTCCTTCCACCCTCCCGCTTGAGGAGGGGGGTTTATTCAAATTTTATTTAAATCCCTATCTCCCGAGGGTCGCGCGCTGGGGGGAGGGGGAGAGGGCGGGGGTGCGCGCGGGCTGGGGGGGCGGGGCCGGAGCAGCTTCCTTCACCCCCCTCGGTTAGTCCCGTAGCCGTAGGGCAGGGGGCCGCAGTCCAGGGGCGGGCCCAGGGGAGGGGGGCAGGTTACAGCGACCCCCCCCTCCCCGGGAACCGGCGGTGGGCGGGGCTTGAACCCCGGAAACGGTGGGGGGGCCGAGGCAGGTCCCTGGACCCCTGGGCAGGGGGAGTCTGGAAGGGGCCAGTTAAAGGGCCGGGGGCGCAGGGAGAGGCGGGGTGGGGGGAGGGGACCTGGGACTCGGACCGGGACTGAGTGGGGCCCGGGCAGAAGCTGAGCACCCTGCGCCCGAGAAGCCCCCGTTGGCCTGGGGGGGCTGAGGGACTGAGCCCCCCAGAACAGGACCTCCCCCTGGAAGGGCCGCGCCGCAGCCCGTGGGAGGGCCTCGCCCCCGGCGCCCCCCATCTCCACTCGCCGCCGTCCCGGCCTCCGCCGGAGGGAGGGGCCGAGCGCCCTCGGGGGGCCGTGGACCCCGGCGTTCTGAGCGTTCCGCGCCCCGCGCCGCCCGGCCCCCCCGCCGCCGATGGCCGCCGACCCGCCGGGAGCTGCCGAGAAGGGAGAGATGGCTCCCGGGACACGTGTGAGGTGGGTTCATGCGGCTCCTCCTCACCCCCAGACCTGGGCAGCTCCCACTCCCATTCATCCTCAGCCTGGCCTCTCTACCTTCCCCGCCTCCAGCCTCACCCTCCCTCTCCCTTTGCTTCAAACTCTTCATCTTCAGCCCTCCTTCCTATAACCTCTCAACCCTGGGGAACTGGCCTTCCTTCCCAGACCCAGCTTCCCCTTGCAAATCCCCCACCCCCAAATCCCCGCCTGCAGTCGCCGCCCTCTAGGCCCCTCCCCTGGAACGCTGGAGGGCCCCTTACCCTCATGGATGGGTCTGGAAGTCCCTGGAAAGGGGGAAGCCAGGGTAAGACTGGGAAGCGACCCTCCAGGCCTGCTGAGTCCATGTGGGATCTTGGAGAATCTGGTTTCCATGGGGAGGGGAGCCCCCCATGGGATTCCAGACAATTAGGGATGGAAAGCAGCTTGGGAAGCTGGGGAATCTAAGTCTGAGCCCATCCTGAGTTCTTTGGAGATGTCAGGTTGGATTCTAGAATCCCAGGGAATCTGGGAGATTGCCCAGGTTGACCTAATAGGTCCTACAGGAAGTCTGGAAGCAGAGGGAGCTCTGTGGGGAACAGAGGAGTTGAGATCTTGGACTGAGAAGAAACTCTGAAGAAGCATCTTGGGGGTATCAGAGTCCTGGGAAGTTCTGGAACAGATGGGTCATTAGGGATGGGGGGGCAAGGATCCCACTGGATCTGATGAGGTTTTGGGGGAAGAGCAATTGGATGATGTTACCTATAAGAAAGAAAAAGGAGAAAGAAAGAAAAATCTGGTGTTTCCACTGAGGAATCTGTGGGTGTCTTGAAGGTAAATCTGGGCATTTTAGACTGGGGAGAGCCTGGGATATTTTACATTTGGATAAGAGAGGAAATGTTGGGACCTCTCTGAAGGTAATGCCACAGACTAGGAGTTGCTGGCCTTTCTGAGGAGTTTTAACTTGGGGATGGCAGAGGAAAGGCCTCTCCTCTGTGGGTGAGGGTATGGGCACTGAGGAAGTGTTAGAGGAGGAGTGAGGTCAGGAAGTCAGTTTTCATGGATCCCAGAGGAGTTGGATGAGCTAGGGAGAGAGTGAGAGGCCTTGAGTAGAGGGAGTGGCCCCCCACCCCCAGACATACAGAAGGGGTGACATTTTTCCCCTAAGTAGGAGGGCAGACTCTGGCTGCCTATGGTTGGAGGGAGCTACCAGGAGTCTCCTGGGCCTGGGCTCCACTGGGCCCATCTGACCCTGCTACCATCTACCAACAGCCCTCGGCGTTGCTGACGCCCCCAATGTCGTCGAGCAGCCGGGGGCCGGGGGCCGGAGCGCGCCGACGCCGAACCCGCTGCCGTCGCTGCCGGGCCTGTGTGCGAACTGAGTGCGGGGACTGCCACTTCTGTCGAGACATGAAGAAGTTCGGGGGGCCCGGGCGCATGAAGCAGTCGTGCCTGCTACGGCAGTGCACTGCCGTGAGTTCCGATCCCCTCACTCCTCCGCTGTTGGGCCCCTTCGCAGCACTCCTCTCCAAAACTGTCTTTCACCCTAGCCCCCAAGTACTTTTCCAGGGTGACCGATGAGTGCTTTCTAGAATGTACTGTAGAGTTGCTGTTTATTTCATTCTTTCAGTGATTTGCTTAAATGTCCATTTGTGTCCTTATCTCCATGTGAGGGGCAATGTTAGGGTGAACAGAAGAATGTGACAGTCCTTTCCTTCACCCCCTCAATTCTCAGAGACACAGACCCATAGAAAACAGCCTCTGTTGGGCAGCTCCCCAGAGGTATCTGTGCATAATGCAATCCATCCCCAGACCTGATTCCTAGAAAAGTCTCTTTTTTCTGGTCCCTTCCTCACTATCAGGGTGGTCTTGGATTTGAGGCCAGGCTTCCCCTTTGTGTGACCCTGAGTATATTACTTTGAATCTCAGGTACTTTCTTTGTAGAATGTTTCCTTTGCTGAGTTGTAAAGATTAAACAATGGCATGGATATGAATGTGCTTACCATGAGGCCCGATACACTCAGTAGGCATCAGGGAAACATGGGTTTCCTCTCTGCCTTCCTTAGCCTTTGAGCATCCCTGGGCTCCAGAGAATGGCCCCTCCCTACCAGCCACGAGGAGCCAGCTGCATCCTGCATCCCCCTCCCCACACTCAACTACCTCCCTCTCTTCCTACAGCTACTTTTTCCTGGTTGGACTCTTCCCCACACAGCCCCTCTCTTCCTTTGTTCCCCAAACCATTGCCTCACTTTCCTGTTTCTTTTTCCTCTACCTGCTTCTTCCTTGATCCTGTCATAACCTTCAGCATCCCTGATTTGATTCAGTATTGCCATTGTCCTCCCGAAAATCACATTGTCTGAGGACTACTCCCATTTTCCCTAAGACTCAGCAGCTATCTTTAGTGTCCCCAAAAGTCTTGCCAAAGTTTGGTTTACTGTAGGATCCAGAGCACCCGTGGGCTGCTCACTGAGCAACCTCGGAATTGCCCCAAGTTGCTGCCGTGTCTTCTCCAGCCTTCTCTGAGTATTATTGTCCCAGTTTGCCTGTGGTTTCTCTCACTCCCCAAAGCCAGCCATAATTTCAGGGTCACACTGGCTGTAACAATCACAACATTAATTACAACTGTGTATCAAATGCCCCTCATGCATTATCTCATACTTATAACAGTCCAGCAAGGGAAAGATTCTTTGCCCAGCTGTCCAGATGCAGAAACAGTGTCTTGAGGTTAAATCAGTTGCTGAAGGTCGTACTGCCAAAAAAAGGCAAATTCAAGATTTGACTCAGCTTGGCCCATGGGTTCTGAGCCTCACCCAGCTGCTGACCAGGGTCCCCAAAAGGAAGTCTTTCCCTTGTAGCTTGCTTTTGGGGTCCCTGATGCCTCCTCTCCCCCAACAGCCCGTGCTCCCACACACAGCTGTGTGCCTCTTGTGTGGGGAGGCTGGGAAGGAGGACACAGTGGAGGGAGAGGAAGAGAAATTTGGTTTGAGCCTCATGGAGTGTACAATCTGCAACGAGATCGTCCACCCTGGCTGCCTGAAGGTGATAGCCCTGGGGACCCTGGAATTAGATTGTCAGGGGGCAGGGAGGTGGACCACACTGCCTCTGGGTTTATATTGGCACCTTCCATCTACTCCTTGCCCTCTTGCCTGCAGATGGGGAAGGCTGAGGGTGTCATCAATGCGGAGATCCCCAACTGCTGGGAGTGCCCTCGCTGTACACAGGAAGGCCGCACCAGCAAGGTAGGGGAATGGGCTAGGCAGGGTTCTGGGCTCTGAGTCAGTAGAGGGTCAGGAGCTGTGCAGGGCCTCAACCCCAGTTTCCATCTCCCTAGGATTCAGGTGAGGGGCCAGGCCGCCGCAGGGCTGACAACGGTGAGGAGGGCGCCAGCCTAGGGAGTGGATGGAAGCTGACGGAGGAGCCGCCACTTCCACCGCCCCCGCCCAGGCGGAAGGGCCCTCTACCTGCTGGGCCGCCCCCGGAGGACATGCCTGGGCCCCCCAAACGCAAGGAGAGGGAGGCAGGGAATGAGCCCCCCACCCCAAGGAAAAAGGTGAGCCCCATGGGGCATGCTCACTAGCTCAAGGCATGTTGGGGCTGTAGTACTGGCCATTTTTTGGTGGGGGTGGGCCTGGGAAGCAGGGGTTGTTGGGAGATGTAGTTCAGGAGTGGCTGGGGTAGTAGATCATGTTCACAGTAAAGAGAAAATACAGGTAAGGGAGAACTGGCACAGGCCAGGAAGCTTTAGGAGCCCTAGGTGGGTTAGGGAGGAAGGAGAACGCATGCTCAAACTAACTGCTACAGAGGAAGAGGGAGGGGCTGGAAAGAGCCTGAGGGGGAAGAAAGAAGAGATGAGAGCATGCTCAGTGAGCTGAGACTCTGGTTGCAAGGTGAGCATGCTCAGAGTTCTCCCTGGGATGGGGGCTTCTGGGATTTGTAGTCTAAGAAGGTGGCATGGACTATAGGTTTGTGGGCACTGAGGGCCTAATGGGGTCTCCCCTTCCCCCATATCTTCCTTTTGCCCTGGTAGGTGAAAGGAGGTCGAGAGAGGCACCTGAAGAAGGTGGGTGGAGACGCCTGCCTCCTCCGAGGATCGGACCCAGGCGGCCCTGGCCTTCTGCCCCCCAGGGTTCTGAATCCAAGCCAGGCATTCTCGTCCTGCCACCCTGGGCTCCCTCCCGAGAACTGGGAGGTGTGCCGGGGATCTCCTCCCTCCCCTACCCACCTCTCCTTGCCCCACCCTTCACCACAGAGACTGAGATTGTCCCTTTCTGTTCACCTTTTCCTACCCTATCCCCACATGGCCCCAAAGGGCACCTGGATCCCTAGGAAGAGTGGGGTGGAAGAATGGGTTGGGTCCAGGCTACAAGAACTCCTGACTTCCCTAGAACCCTTAGGGTATTATCTGGCCCTTTTGCCTCATCTTTTTAAGTCTTAAAAGGAATTCAAATTTCTGCCCAACCACGGACTGTGTATGGTTTTGGCAACTGGTCAGCTGCCCTAAGCTTCAGTTTTCTCATCTGTAAAATGGGATGAAGCTATCTTCTTAACCTACCTGTGGTTACCGCACGACACTATATAAACCAAATGCTGTAATGAAAGTAAATGAACTTTGTTTTTTTTTTTTTTTAACATTTATAGTATGCCACATTCATTTCTTAGCCTTCCCACAGAAACGAAACTTTATTTATTTTGAGAGAGAGAGAGAATTTTTTAATATTTATTTTTTAGTTTTCGGTGGACACAACATCTTTGTTTGTATGTGGTGCTGAGAATTGAACCCGGGCCGCACGCATGCCAGGGGAGCGCGCTACCGCTTGAGCCACATCCCCAGCCCCAACTTTGTTAACTATAAAGTTCACCTAGATTCAAGGAACATGAGGCCCAGGGAGGTTAAAAGATTTACCCAAGGTCATACAGCAAAGCCAGAATTCAGATAGTACCTTGCAAGAATTCTATCTGGTTGTGTTCAAACCTACTTCTACCATTTAGTTGGGTGTCTTTGTCTAAAAGGAGTGGCTCAAGTTGCCACTTAAATTATAATAGGAACTCTCATTTTGTGGAGTAGGTACTCAGAATTACCTAGTCCAGCTGTTTTATGTCATGAACAATTAAATGGTCTTCACAGTGTTGATGGACAAGCCAGCATTCAAGCTAGGTCTCTTTTTTTTTTTTTTAAAGAGAGAGAGAGAGGGAATTTCAATATTTATTTTTCAGTTTTCGGCAGACACAACAACATCTTTGTTTGTATGTGGTGCTGAGGATCGAACCGGGCCGCATGCATGCCAGGCGAGCGCGCTACCGCTTGAGCCACATCCCCAGCCCCACAAGCTAGGTCTCTTTAAAAAATATTTATTTATTTATTTCAGTTTTCGGTGGACACAACATCTCTATTTTTTAAATTTTTATGTGGTGCTGAGGATCGAACCCAGTGCCCCGCGCATGCCAGGCGAGTGCATTACCACTTGAGCCACATCCCCAGCCCCAAGCTAGGTCTCTTAACTGTTGTCTTTTCTGACTTGAGAAATTTATGAATCATTGAAACCCATAAGGTGGTGTTTTTTTTTTGGTTCTGAGAATTGAACCCAGGGCCACTTTACCACTGAGTCACATCCCTGGTTCTTTTTTTTTTTTAATTTCGAGACAGGGTCTTGCTAAGTTGCTGAGGCCAACCTTGAACTTGCAATCTTACCTCAGTCTCCCAAGTCACTGGGATTATAGGTGTTCTATCATGCCTGGCTTTCCATAAGACTAAATTCTTTGAATTAGTGCCTTCATATTCAAGATGAGAAAACTGAAGTCCAGAGGTGGCTGAAGTATCATGTTATTTGAGAGCAGTTTGAAATTGAGGACCATCCCTTGGGCTCTTCACTCCCTGGTGATTCCCTGTGGGTAGAGGGGTGGGAAAGTATGTCCCAGGCCCTAGAACAGCCTCTCCCTGTCTTCTTTTAGAAACCAAAGCCGCCTTTGGCCTCTGCTGAGGGCCCAGCCGTGCCATCCCCATCCCCACAGAGGGAGAAGCTGGAACGTTTCAAGCGGATGTGCCAGCTGTTGGAGCGGGTGCCTGATACCTCTTCTTCTTCCTCGGACTCGGATTCCGATTCCGACTCATCAGGCACTTCGCTGAGTGAGGATGAGGCCCCTGGCGAGGCCCGGAATGGGCGACGGCCAGCCCGGGGCAGCTCTGGCGAGAAGGAGAACCGTGGGGGGCGGCGGGCTGTGCGCCCTGGCAGTGGGGGGCCCTTGCTCAGCTGGCCCCTGGGCCCCGCCCCCCCACCCCGGCCTCCACAGCTGGAGCGGCATGTGGTACGGCCCCCACCTCGAAGCCCTGAGCCTGACACACTGCCTTTGGCTGCTGGATCCGACCATCCCCTGCCCCGGGCTGCCTGGCTTCGTGTCTTCCAGCACCTTGGGCCACGAGAGCTGTGCATCTGCATGCGAGTCTGCCGGACTTGGAGCCGCTGGTGAGTGGTGGACAGACCTGAGGTCTCGCTTGCTTTGCGACCTGCCATAGCTCTCTGATCCTCTCTAGGCCTTGCACTTCTATAGTATGTACACATCATAGTGTGATACTTTCACATTTACTGTGGGCAGCCTGTTTTCCATTTAGGAGCTCATTTAACCCTCTCCAACTTTGTTAGGAAGAAATTATTCCTCCTTGTTCAGATGAGCTGAGACCTGAGGTCATGCAGAGAGGAAGTGTTAAAACCAGGAATTTGAACCTAGGCCCTCTGGCTCCAGAATTTTTTCTCTTAATAACTGTTGTTATTTATATTGAGTGGTTAGTATGTGCCAAGTGTAATGCTGTAATACAATATCTCACTTTTTTTCTTTTTCTTTTTTTTTTATTTTGGCAGTACAGAGGTTTGAATCCAAGAGTGTTTTACCACTGAGTAAAGCTCTTTTTATTTTTAATTCTGAGACAGGGTCTTGCTAAGTCATTGAGGCTGTCTTTGAACTTTGATCCTTCTGTTTCAACCTCCCAAGTTGCTGGGATTACAGGCATATGCCACTGAACCTGGCTATCTCACTTAATTTTCATGCTCCCTCTTCTGCGGACAGTCTTGACTAGTGGTCCCACGGACAGTCTTGACTAGTGGTCCCATTTATATATGAGAAATCCCTTTGCTGGGGTAGCCCCTGCTTTCTCTAAGACAGCCGTGCTTAGACCTCCTGACTTGGTCTATCTTCTTCTCCCTATTCTCCCAGATATATCCCACTGCCTCTTAACCCTTGTTTTTCAGAAATGTCAGTCATCCTCCCAAATCTAACTTTTCTTCTCTCCATCAGACTCCCACAGCACTGTGTTCCCCTAATGGAGCACACAGAGGCATTTGGCATGTTGACAAGCCTTCATTCATTTATTTGTTTTCATGTTCCCATCGCATATTGTGTCTTTTTTATCTTCATGTCCCCAGCATGAGACAAAGGGCAGTAGAGATGCTGAAGAAATGTTTTACTAAGTGAGTAATTCAGGCTCTTTCCCAGTATTCACTGTGGCCTGGGCTTCCTGTTGAGTGCTTCACAAATTTTAGCTGATTTGTTCTTTATAATAGCAGCCCTGTGAAGGAGTGAGGGACATCTGAGGCCATAGTGCAAAGTTAGAGACTAAACTCAGATTCCATTCCCGGACCTCTGAGATGAAGTCTAGAAGTCAGCTCTAGACTTCTAGACTGGTCTGTGTGGAGAAAGGGGGTTGGGGTGCAGGCTATAGAGGCAGATCGCCTGCAGCAGACTTGTTCTTCCTCTGATGAGCATTTGCCCTTGGACCAATTTCTTAACTTTCCCATGCCTCAGTTTATGCATTTATAAAACTGGGATAATCAAAGCTCTCACTTCATAGTGTTCTTGTGATCTGGTACACAAACTGAGCAGAGTACCCAAGAGGTAGAAACACTTGGCCTTAACTGTAATCTTTATTATTCACTCATTTTTAAAAGTATTTACTGAAAGCTCAACGTTTTAGTCCTGGGAACATAAATCTGTGTCCTTGAAGAGCTCCCAGTCTGCAACATAGAAGCCGATAGTTACAAAAGTTGCTGGGGATTACCACCCCACCTCAAGTATTAATTGAGAATTAACTGCAGAGACCCCTCCAAGGCCAGCTTTGTGCTTGGCACCTGGGACCCAGAACTGAAAAGAAACACATTTCTGCCTCAGGGGAGAGACTTGTAGCTGGAAGTAGCTGTATAGAGAGGCCATACTGCAATTTTCATGTTAATATAGCCCTGCCTCAGGGTCTGGGGAATTTGTTCTAAGACTCCATTCCCTCCAGAATACCAAAATCTAAGGATGTTCAAGTCCCTTATATAAAATGATGCAGTGTTTGCTATAACCCTTTCTTCTTTCTTTCCTTTCTGTCTTCCTTGATGCTAGGAATTGAACCCAGGGACCCTCTACCATAGAGCTAACATCCCTAGCCCTTTTTAAAATTTTTGAGAAAATCTTGCTAACTTATCTAGGCTAGCCTCAAACTATGATCCTCCTGCTTGGATCATATATAAATGGGACCACTAGTCAAGACTGTCCGCAGAGTTGCTTGGATTATAGGCAACAAGGAACTGCAGCCAGCTCCCATGTACTTTAAATAATTTGTAGATTACTTATGGTACCCAATACAATGTAAATGTTATTTAAATAATTATTACACTGTATTGATCATAGAGTGATGATGAAAAGTCTGTGCGTGTTCAATACAGGTTTTTTTGTTTGTTTTAAATGATTTTGATTTGTAGTGGTTGAATCCACAGAAGTGGAACCCTTTGATACCGAGGGCCAGTTGTATTTACTCAATGGGGATTAAATGAGGTGGTTCCTGCAAAGCACTTAGCACAGTTTTCGAAGGGTACTAAACACTTAGTAAGGCAGTAGAACAAGTAAGGAGGCTCTCCCATGTCTGTGCACAGAAGCAGTTAGGGAAGGGATCAGGTTGAGACCTTTTTAAGAAGGGCAGTTACTTGGACTTGGTGACTTATTGGCTATAAGGGCAGCAGGGCAAATCTCAGCTGAGTTTGTGGCCCAAGAACATGAATGGGCAACAGCACTGTTTCCCAAGATTGGGAATCACAGTGGAGAAGCAGGTTCCAGGGGAAAATGAAAGAGCTGTGACCTGTTTGGTGTAAAGGGGTTGTGGGCCAATTCAGGAGAACTAGTACAGCAGCTGAATCTGCCTGTTGGGTGCTCAAGAAAAAGGTGAGTTTGGGGGTTTTCAGCCTAAAGGTAGCACCTTGGAATGTGAGAGCAGATGATAGAATGTCAATATTTATGAGTTAGAGAAAGAGCAGCCCAAAAATTAGAGATCAAGGATGGAGGTTTGCCTAAAAAGAAGGGAGACTAAGGAAGGTGGAATGAGGAGCACTGGTAGATTTTGGTAACAAATCACAGGAGGTCAAGGACCAAGAGGTAGCAGTTGGATTTTGCTACAAGAAGGCCTTAGTATCCTTGGCTGTGGTATGTGGGAGTTGGGGGAATAAAGCCAGACCACATGAAATTGAGAGTGTTGACTCCAAGGCAGGGACCTGCTCCGTTTATTCTGCTGTGTCCCTGGTTTCTAGTGTGGTGCCTGGCATACAGTAGGTACTAAAATAATAGGAAAATTTGGATGGTATGTAGAAAGAGGTAGTAGAGGGTGGAGCTGGAGAGAACTTTGTAGGTGGGAGAGCAGGAAGTTGCAGGCTTTCCTGTCTGGTGACTTTCATCTTCTCCTGGAACTGGGAGGCGAAGTGATCTGCCAAGAGCTGAGGGAGAGGGCAGCAGGCAGGGAGGCAGGGAGGAGTTGTTGAGTTGCCAGGATTGGAACTTTCAAGGACATGGATATAGAGGGTGACAAAGGAGGGACTGGAACACAAGGTCAAGATCAATTGGGGTTGGGAGTGAAGGCCTAGAGGTAAACAGATTGGAGGACAGTAGTAGCATCAGGGAGCTAAGAGAGCTGATGTGAGCCAAGAACAGTAGTCAGGGACCAGGAGGTGGTAAGTTTGCAGGGAACAATTAGGACTGTTCAACTCTTTGTTCCCCAGGAGCTTCTGCAAGATGAGGCTTAGGACTAGAATGTAGGGTTTTGTAGGTGGGCTTAATAGGATGATGACTTAGTCAGAGAATTGCTGGAGTCAAGCAGAAGATGGATAGGTTGGGGCACTTGGATGTTAAGCCCTGCCTATCCAGGATGATGACAGGCTTCAGCTCTTAAGTCCTTCTTTCCTCTTGGCTTACCATCATTCCCTATCCACGCCTCTCCATCACCTTCAGTGAATTCCTATAGGGATGCAGGACATGAACCTCGTTCCAGTCATGGCACTAAACACTTACCCTATACAGTCTCTCATCATTGGTGCAGCAAACCTTTGAAATTAAGTGCTGTCTTTTGCCTTAATTTTTGGTTTCGGGAATGAAGGCCCAGAAAGGGCACATGCCTTGCCTGAGGACACCCCAACCATAGAGGTGGGGAAGCTGGGATTTAGATCCCCATAGTTCATACTCTTCACCTTTGGGCTCTGTGGCCATGACAGTTGGTTGCTTGGCATTCAGCCCTCCATGACATTGAACCCTCATCCCGAGCCTCTTGTGCAGCCTCAGCCCTGCTTCTTCCTGCTCAGAGTTTAGGCTCTCTCCATTCAGACCAGCTTGGTTTAAGCTTGACTTGGCTACCATTTTGAAGCTGTGGGACCTTGAACAAGTTTCTTAACCTCTCTGGACCTTGTTTTTCTTTTTCTTTTTTTTTTAAGAGAGAGACAGAGAGAGAATTTTTTTTTAAGATCTATTTTTTAGTTTTCGGTGGACACAACATCTTTGTTTGTATGTGGTGCTGAGGATTGAACCCGGGCCACACGCATGCCAGGCGAGCGCGCTACCACTTGAGCCGCATCCCCAGCCCCCTTGTTTTTCTTAACTGTAAAAAAGAGATGCTAATGATCTCCTAGGGCTGTTGTGAGGTTGAATGCTTAATGCAAAGAATAGTACCCAACTTGCAGTAAACCCTGAGTAAACATATGTTATTACTGCTGTGGTCTTCATCACCATTATATAGGATGAGCTTCCCTTGGTTCCTGCTGCCTGGGGTTCCCAGAGCTTTTGAGTTTTTTCTCTCCTGGGCCTAGATGCAGTCTCTACCCTGTTCCTTTTCTCCCATTGCTGGAAATAACAGAATAACTGCTTGCTTCAGCCTCATTTCAGGCACCGTCTCCTTAGGGATGCTCCCTTGTTCCAGTCTGCAAGTTGACTCTTACATGTCCCTTACTGCCTCAGTTACTGCAAACTGTGTCTCCCCTGATTGTATAGCAAGAACCCTGTCATCCTTAACTGCTCTGTGCCCAGTAGAAACTGGACACATGGTATCAGTAAGACCCTCAAAGATTGTTGCCTGCCACTCAAGTTTAAACCTATTGCTCTGGAACTAATTGCAATGAAATTGATTGGCTCTAGCCAAGAAAGGGTCAAGGAGACTTCCTGGAAGTGAGGGTACTGGAGCCAAGCCTTAAAGGGTCTGTGGTGGTTGACCTTTCCAGCAGAGGCATAGCATATTCCAGAATGTGTTGGCACCAGACAGTATTGTGTGTCTGTAGGCGGGAAGGTGGTTTGGCCTGGATCTTGTAGAGTGGTGCAGAAACACAATTGGGGACCTATGAGTGCCCCAAGGAGAGGGGTTCCCTTCCAAGTGTGGACAATTTCCGGAAGGGCTTCAAGGAAGCAGATGAGCTAGAATTTGCAACTAGGTCAAAGGGGAGAGAGAGAGGGTTTATTCTTTCTTTGTTGTTTGTTTTTGTTTTTTATTGTAATGGGGATTGAACCCAGGGCCTTACATACGGCAAGTTCTCTACCACTGAGCTGTATCCCTGGCCCAGAGAGAGGCTTTAGAGTAGGATTTCACTGAATGGAAAGAGAGAGACAGGGCAGAAGCTGGGTTGAAGGTAGAATTTCCCCTCTCCCTTTTCATTCTTAGAATTGGAGAGAGTTATGTTTATTGCTTGAGTGGAGGGAATCAGGAGCAGACTAGAATGCCAGAATGGAGGGAGGGATGGTAGGAGGAGGACTGTTGGAGAGGGGCTTTGGTGAATGCTTCTACAATTCCAGAAATATCATACTGAGGCTCTGGAGTATGCCTGGCAGGTTTTTTGTTTGTTTGCTTGTTTTTGTTGTTGTTGTTTTGTTTTGTTTTGTAGTACTGAATCCAAAGGCATTCTACTACTGAGCTATATTCCTAGCCCTTTTTGTTTTATTTTGAGACCGGGTATTATTGTTGCCCAGGCTAGCCTCAAACTTGTGATCCTCCTGCCTCCCTGAGGTAGATAATAGGCATGCACCATCACACTCTGCGTGGTTTTTTTTTTTTTTGAGTCTGGATGCTGCTGTGTTGCCCGGGCTAGCCCAAACTCCTGGGCTCAGGTGATCCTTCTGCTTCAGTCTCTTGTGTAGCTGGGAATATAAGCACACACCACCCTGCCAGACTGCCTGATACAAAACCATGGTTTAATCCTTCTGTCAGTTTTGAAAAATAACAGAACTTCTTTAAAACTATTGGGTGCTATCATATCTTTAGTGCTTCTCTAATATTTGCTTGTCTTTCTGTTTAACAAAAGTGGTTTAGCCTAAAGCCATAGCAACTTCTGGCTAGAATTTAATAGTTTCCTCTTGTATTTATTACTTAAGCTTACTATATTTATGTGAAACAATACTGGTTTTAAGTGCAGAGAGGGGATGATTTAAAGGTAAAGTCATGTTCTATAGATAAGTGGACTGCAAGTGATTGGAGTTTAGGAAACCCTTCTCCAGTTCAAGGCTTCTTGAAGGGAAAGCCCTTCAGTATCTTGGGGGTTGGGAGGGAGGTTAGGTAAGACTTTGAGGCCCATCTATTCCAGAGGGAATTTCCTGACATGCCATCAAGGACTACTGAATTAGAAGACAGTTCTCAAACTAAATCATCAAGAGAAACTTAGCCAGGCATGTTGGTTCACATCAGTAATACCAGCAGCTCTGGAGGCTGAGGCAGGAGGATTGCAAGTTCAAAGCCAGGCTCAGCAACTTGGCAAAAGCCTGTTTCAAAATAAAAAATAAAAAGAACTGGGAATGTGACACAGTGGTAAAGTGAACCTGGGTTCAATCCCTGTTACATTAAAAAAAGGAACTTAAGGTATCAAAAAGTGTTCATGCAATTACCTTAGAAGAGGTGGGGAAGAGTTCTTTGGTGAAATAAGTTTGGGAAGCCCTTTTCCCATTCACTGCATGTTAGCCTAGTCAAAGCAATTAGAGTGCTGGGGTTAGGAAACCTGTTTAGCTTTGTTTAGACTTCATTCGTCTTTGTAGTTTCAATACCTAGGACCTGCCAGACCTTCCAAAAACTGTGAGTGAATAACTGCAAAAATATAAATGAAGTGTGTGGGAAGGAAGTACTCAGTAGAAGCTTTAGGTATTCCACACTGGCTTGATTCATTCAATAAATGTGCAACAGATAACCTATACTTTATTCCTGGAAGTGTTGGATACTGATAACCTATACTTTATACCTGGAAGTGTTGGATACTGAGGTTACTGAAGTGTAAAAGAAAAAAAGAAAAGCCAATTTTGCCCTTGTAGAGCTTACATTCTAATTGGAGGAACACAATAACCAAAGAGAAAATGCCAGGACCATAAGTCCAGCATTGGGCAGCTGGCTATCAACATGGCAGAGGTTAGTAGAGGAGATGAGAAGTGCCAATGAGGAAGCCACCTTAACAGCAAGGGAGAAATCTAGAAGCTCAAAGGTAGGGGGTTGGGGGGCTGCTTAAAGATCCCTTTGGCATTACATCAAATAGTGTATATGGTGTTTGTGTAGTTATTTGGCAAAATGTTTTAAAAGCTGTAAGGCCTACAAACTATAATTACCTCATTTGATCTTACAGCAGCCCTGTGGGGCAGGCAGAGTCTGGATCATTATCTTCATTTTATAAATGAGGCCTCTCAGGCTCAGGGAGAGGAATGGACTTGCCCAGGGTCTTGCATTCAGTTAGTGATGGAGTTGGGTCCCAAACCCAGTGCTCTTGGCCCACAGCCTGGAACTTCTTGCTACCAGGCTGCCTGGGTGGGCCTGGATGTTGGAGGGATAACTGGAGTGAACTGTTGGGAGTGTGGGGATTGGTAGGCTCCATGAGAACTGAGGCTGAGGTCTCTGTCTCCCCCTTGTGCCCGGCAGGTGCTACGACAAACGTCTGTGGCCTAGAATGGACTTGAGCAGGAGGAAGTCACTGACCCCGCCCATGCTCAGTGGGGTAGTTCGTCGCCAGCCCCGTGCCCTGGACCTCAGCTGGACAGGTGTCTCCAAGAAACAGCTCATGTGGCTTCTGAACCGACTGCAAGGTAGGGTGGAGTGACAAGTCATAACAGGGTAGAAATGGGGACAGGCCTGGGGTGGAGTCTGGCTTCCTGACCCTCACCCCCACAAATCCTCTAGGCCTGCAGGAGTTGGTGCTCTCTGGCTGCTCCTGGCTCTCTGTCTCTGCCCTGGGCTCAGCCCCACTGCCAGCCCTGCGGCTCCTGGACCTCCGCTGGATTGAGGATGTAAAAGACTCACAGCTCCGTGAGCTGCTGCTGCCTCCACCAGACACTAAACCAGGTGTGGCCTCTGTGTGCTCTTCTGTAGAATGGGTTGGGCAAGGTGGGGATATATACCTCTAAGGTCTCTTCTGACTCATTGGGTGTTACAATTATTGGAGGAACACATGAATTTGAATAGGAAAGCCATCTTAGCTATCATTCATTTGTTCATTTGCCTTCGGTGTGCTTTGAACTGAGTCTTGAAAGATTGGAGTTTTCCCAGGGTGTTTGAGGTATGATTAGCAGTTCAGTGGGGCAGGAGGCCCATATTGGCAGAGAGGCATACTAGGAGCAGAGGCCTGTGCATATTGGAGGTATGTGGAGTAGGGACACTGAGGCCTCAGGGCTTCTTGTAAAGTTAGCAGATGGGATACTTATCTTTTCTGGCCCCCAGTTTCTTCTTTACAATAGACCCAGGGGAACTATCCAGAAGAATACATCTGACCATATCACCCCTGTGCTCTAAACTCATATTGCTCCTCTCTTATCCCTTTGGATAAAGATAAGGGTTTTACTGTAGTTACTGAGACCTAGCATGGCTGAGTCCCACTAACCTAGGCCATCCCTGCATTTGGCCTCCTCAGCCACTTTGCCAAGTTCCTTTCAGTTCCTACTTTTCTTTGCCTCAATGTTCTGTCCTCCTTCATTTAATTAATACTTTAGACCTTGGCATAGATGCCACCTTCTAGAAATTCTCCCTGACCAACCCCACCTCACTCCTTGCCTTGAGCTCTTGAGTTCTTCTCAGCCTTGGAAACAGGCCCTGGCATAGTGCTGTACATGTGGGAAGTGTTCTGATTAAGATGATTCTTGCAGGGCTGGGGTTGTGGCTCAGTGGTAGAGCACTTGCCTCGCATGTGTGAGGCGCTGTATTCAATTCTCAGCACTGCATATTAGTAAACAAAATAAAGTCCATTGACAACCTAAAAAAAAAAAAGATTAAAAGAAGAAAAAAACAAGATGATTCTTCTAGCTAGTCTCTTAGGCTCTACAGGGTACCATGTGCTCAAAACCAGCACCTTGCTCAGTGGTCTGCCCAGCAAATATTTGGTGAGTGAATGAACTGAATGAGCACAGAGATGATCAGGATGCAAGGGAGAGATCTGGTTTGAGGAAAGGTTTCCAAAGGGAAATTTGCTGTGGCCTAAATAAGAAAATTAAAAGGATCTTCTTTTTCTAAGTTCTTTCACAGTTCTTTTTTTGTGTGTGTGTCCCTTCTTCCTGCCCCACCAAGCTCTACAGTAGCCCTGGAAGGAGAATAGGGAAGCAACTAGGATTCTTCCCATTTTGTGGACAAGGCTCTAGAGGCCTATTTGATTCAACAAGGAGTTGAATGACTGATGTAAGTCAGGCAGAGCCAGGCCAGAGCACTCACCCATGGTCTGCTCTTACTGGAATTGAACTGAGCTGGGACGATTTGGGCAGGAGGGTGAGATGGGCATTGGGAGCAGTTTGTTCTTTGAGGTGAGAAAGTGCTGGCTGATAGAGCAAACCTTCCTCTCCTGTCTTATTCCCTTTATCAGGAGTATGCAGAAAAGAGCTTTCTTGGCTGTCAGTCCAGTTGTGCAGGTTAGGATTTCTCCCACCTTTCCTCTCATGGCTTCCTGGCTCCCTGTACCATTCTCACAGCAAAATATAAAGTTCTTTTACTTCTAGGCTCTTGCCTAGTGTATTCTTTGAGTTATTGCCTGGTATATTCTTTTCTTATCTTGCTGCATGTTCAAACCCTCGAAGACCCAGCTTAAATGCCACCACCTCAGGGAAATCCTCAGTGATGCCCACACTTGCCCCTAAGCCAGAAGTGATCTCTTTGATCTAGTGCCCTTTATCTGTGGCACAAGTTTGGGAGTTTTTATAAATATACCTCCCTCTCTAGGCTCTCAGCTCTCCAAAGACAGGAGGAGAGGGTAGAATTCAGGACATGCCATATGGAGTGCCTACAGAGGTGGCCTGGCAAGTAGCAGAAGTGACACATTGGTGCAGGACTTTTGGGAGTGGCACTGGCAGCCCTATTCTAGTCAATTACTGTCAGGCAGGAAGGGTAGTAGCCTAGTGATGCCAGGTCAGTTTTTTAAGGAAAAGCTCCACATCTAAATTTCTGTATAAAAATATCCTTTTTGTAGTGTTAGACATTCATGCAAGAAAAGTTTTAGCACCATGCAGATTCCATAAAGTTTGGAGGTTGGTTTCATGAGTCTGTGGCATCTGATGGAGTCTCTCTCAGTCAGTAGATCTGGGTCTCCTGGCTCATACTTCATAATTATGTGATGACAGCTTTATGATCTGAATCTCAATTTTATATATATATATATATATATATATATAAATGTTGTAGATGGACACAATACCTTTATTTTATTTTTATGTGGTGCTGAGGATTGAACCCAGTGCCTCACACATGCCAGATGAGCACTCTACCACAGAGCCATAGCTCCAGCCCTCAATTTTCTTATCTGTAAACAACAATAATGATCAGAGAGCTTCTCTCCCAAGGCTCAGGTTCTTAAAATGTGGTCTATGGCCCAGTGGTCTCAGTGTCACAGGAAAATTTGTCAGCAAAGTAAACCCCAAGTCCTTACACTAAATCTACTGCAACTCTGGAGTAGGGTCAGCAATCCAGTCCTCCAGGGGACTTGAGCCTCTTGAGTTTGAGAGCCAGTAACATGGAAGAAAGGCATATTGGGTGCTTTGGGTGCAGTGGGGAGGGATGTGAGCTCTTCTCAGTGGAGATAGAGAAGAGGAAGCCTCTGAGCTCTGAAAGCCAGGCAGTATGCTAAACAGAGGTGGTCTTAGGAGTAGGACCTTATAAAAATTGGGATGTTCTTCCAAGGAGACTAGACTTCTTTGAAGTGCCCTCACAGTTTCTTTCTTTCTCCTTTTTTTTTTTTTTTTTTTTGTGGTGCTGGGGATTGAACCCAGGGCCTTGTGCATGCAAGGCAAGCACTCTACCAACTGAGCTGTATCCCCAGCCCAGCCCTCACAGGAAAGATATTGTCACATTTGAGTTTGAGATCAGCTCTCTGGATTCTAAAAAGAAGAGACTAGAGGGAGTGAGGTAGTGGGAGCAGTTCAAGCAAGAGTGGTATGGACCTAGTGGTATGCCCTGGAGGGCTCCACAGGGCAGCTTAACTAATTATGGAGAAATAAGAGGGAGGTGAGCCTGGAGTGGTAGTCCCTTTAGGGATGTTATGTGTTGGATGAATGGGTGAAATTATATTGAGCACCCTAGCACCCTATTGTGTGTTTCATTGCTGGGGATAGAGCAGTGAGCAAGAATTTCTTCCTGGGAGTGCTGGGATTATGGCTCAGTGGTAGAGTGCCTGCCCAGCATGTGTGAGGCACTGGGTTTGATTCTCAGCACCAAACATAAATAGAAATAAAGGTTCATTCACAACTTAAAAAACAAAACAAAACTGTCATGGAACTGACATTTTTGTGTGGGGGAGAAAAAAATTAACAAGAAGAAATTAATGTGTCAGATACTGAGAGGTAGGAAATAGAGTACTCATGGAAAACCTCAGTGACAAGGTGATGTGAGCAGTGGACAGATGAGATCAGGGGTGTGGTGGTTTGGGAGAAGAGCAAGCCATTCATAGAGTACAGCAAGTTGGGGCCCCCATGTGATGGGAGCAAGTTTAGGACGGATGTTAAGGAACATGGAAAAGGAGACAGTCCTGGGTGCAACGATGGTAATGGCCAGGAGTACTGATATCTCCTTTGCCTGTCCAGGGCAAACAGAGAGCCGTGGGCGACTACAGGGTGTAGCCGAACTGCGCTTGGCAGGTCTGGAGCTGACAGATGCCTCCCTGAGGCTCCTCCTGCGCCATGCACCCCAGCTGAGCGCCCTGGACCTGAGCCACTGCGCCCACGTTGGGGACCCCAGTGTCCACCTCCTCACAGCTCCCACTTCTCCACTCCGAGAGACCCTGGTACACCTCAATCTTGCTGGTAAGCATGGTTGCCTGTTCATCTTGCTAGGCTGTTGGTTCCCCTGGTCAGTACCTACTACCTACTTACCTACCAGGTCTCAGCTGCCACTGCTGTGTCCCCAGGTTGCCACCGCCTCACGGACCACTGCCTCCCGCTGTTCCGCCGCTGCCCACGTCTCCGCCGACTAGACCTGCGCTCTTGCCGCCAGCTCTCACCTGAAGCTTGTGCCCGTCTGGCAGCTGCTGGCCCTCCTGGTCCCTTCCGCTGCCCAGAGGAGAAGCTACTTCTCAAGGACAGCTAGTCGGGCGCCCCCCACCATCCCCCAGGACTCATCAGGAGCCTGGACCTCGGGCCTTCATTTCATCCTCTGTTGGGAGGCCAGGTTACCCACCTCATGACTTGGGATTCCTGAGTTTCGTGACTTGGGATTCCTACCCAGGGACCGGAGCCAGCCTCCCGCTTCTCTTCCCCCTGCACTGATATCTCTGGGGGTCTCTCCTTCCCATCTCCTCCCCCTTCCACTTGCTTCATTGTCCATCCCCTGGGGGAAGTGGGTCAGAGGTACTGGGGGGTGCTGAGCCAAAGGGATGGTGGGAGGGGGGTTAAGGTGCAAGTTTGAGGGAGGGAGAATGGGGAAAGGGTATCTACACAGGATACTGGGAGCCAGGGGGCTGGGGGAGGTGGAGGATGGGTGGGTGGGGGGGCAGAAAGAGACCACCAAGGGTTCAGAGAACAAAGACCAGATATTTGGAGTGGGGGGTGGGGGGCCAAAAAGGGAAACTGGAGGAGCAATTGGGGATCCATGTATCAGAGGTAGGGGGACTTGGGGAGCAAGAGGAAAGCCAGGGCTGAATGGGGGTTGGGGGACAAGAGCAGGTTGGGGCAGTAGTACTCCTCCCTCGTGGGAGGGTTACCCCTCTTCTTTCCTCCTGCCCAAATTTGAGTTCCTTCCCTCTACTCTGACTCCTTGAACGTCACTGAAAATGGCAGCTATTGCGAGGAGTGGGGGCCATGGGTCTACCCTCTGTTCAACTCGTGGCCCAGGGGAGTGGTGAGGGGTGCCCCAGCCCCCTGCCTGCCTCTCCGCACAATACTTGAACATTCATCTGTACTGAAGTGTTACTTGAATCGGGGGAACCTCGGACCTGGGGGAGCCGAAGTGTAATTGGATGGGACCAGCTTGGACTGAGACTGAACTGGTGGGCACCCAGAGTGGACTGCACCACCTCCAGATATCTCTGGCTTTACTGTCTTGAGCAGCTCTACCCCTTCTGACCCGAGTTGGGGGTGGTGGGTGCCAGCCCAATGATGGGGAAGATGGGACTCCTCCAGCTTGGCTCTTCCCACTCTTTCATCGTCATGGAAACTTGTATCCCATTCGCCCAGGGAACTGCCACTCCTGGTTGCCATGGAAATAGCAGCCAATGGACACCTCCCGATGCCAGTGCTAAGGCTGGAAATGGCCCCTCTCAGTTGCCATGGGAACTTAGTAACAGACTCTTTTTGGTCCTTCTCTCCACTGCCCCTTCCTCCTGTGTTGGGGTGGGGTCTTGGGAGCCAGAGGGAGGAGCTGGGCCAGGTTCCGCCCCTCAGTCCAGGCCTCTGGGGGCAGCCGGGTTGTACTATGTAGGGGAGGGGGAAATCTATCCACATACCTCAGGTAACAGGGAGGTGCGCGGGTGGGGGGAGGGACTGGGCGGACCAAAGGCCGAAGGGGAGGGGGGGCCTGGGGATGGAAAGGCTTGAGGATTGGGCCGTTTGGGGGAGGGGGAGGAGGCAGCCCGGCATGGGACGTGTTGGGGACCCAGCCGGGCTGGGCCCCTGGGCCCCAAATCTGTACAATATGGTTTGCTATAAAACTCAAAATCTTCCAGCCGGGGCCACCGTGTTCATGTTCGCGTGTGTGTGTGTGTTTTTGCGGTGTCGGGGGAGAATATGGGTCGGGTGAGGATAGCCAGAAATCCGTTCCTTGGGGTTCTTGGAGGAAGGCCTTTGGCTAGATCTGAGAGGGTTCCTGCATAACGGAGTCACCTTTCCCGACTTAAGTGTTTAGGTTGGGGGAGTGGGGGCTTGGCGGTCTGGACACCTCAGAATATCCAGGTATACCTAGGAGTGATCCAGGGCCCAAGAATTCCCAGTTATAGAGAGGAACTGAGGGTTCACCTGGATCGGGTTCGGGCGCATGGATATCTTTGGTGGGCTGGGGTCCCCCAGATCTTTGCCTTCAGGCCAGGGATTGCGGGGGCTCGGTTCCCCGGCTCCACCCCATCATGTGGCCGCCCCGGCTCCGCCTCTGCCCCAGTTCCTGTTTCGGCCTCTGCCGACGTCCCATTTCGGCCCCTGGGGCTCCCCGCAGACGACTCTTCTGCTCCGCTGGGGCCGCCTCTCTGGGAGCCAGCCCGCCTGCATCCGCGCTCACCCCGCCGGGGGATGGGGCCTTTCCGCTGCTCTGACCGGCCCTTCTGGGGTCCCCGAGGTGCCTTGGCCCCTCCCTGACCGCCCGGCGCTACTGGTGCCGCCGCCCCCAGGATGAAGGGCGGCGAGGGAGACGTGGGCGAACAGGCCCCGTTGAACCCGGAGGTCGAGAGCCCGGCGGGCTCGGCCACGTACCGGGAGTTCGTGCACCGCGGTTACCTGGACCTTATGGGGGCCAGTCAGCACTCGCTGCGGGCGCTCAGCTGGCGCCGCCTCTACCTCAGCCGAGCCAAGCTCAAAGCCTCCAGCCGCACATCTGCCCTGCTGTCAGGCTTCGCCATGGTGAGGGGCGGGAAGGGGCACGCGGGGAGTGGGGTGGGGGGTGAAGCACGTGGGGGGCACCGGTCGGAGGTGAAGTAAATGGCTCCCCAAGGAATACAGGGAAAGAGGAAAGGGAAGGATGGACTTTAAGAGCCAAAGGGGAGAACAAGCAAGGTCCAAAATGACTGAAGAAGTGTCTTTATATTGGGGGAAGAGATATAAACAGGACCCTAGTAATATAAACCGGACCATGGGGAAGATTAGTCCTTTAGGTGTCGTGGGAGAAGGGGTTAACAAATCAATGACAAATATGCAACGATGGAACAAAGTGGTCCCAAAGGAGCATATTTCCAGCAGAAATGGTTACTAAGTCCTCCTGACCAGGTTCAAAGGCAAATTAGAGCTGGATGCGGTCTGTATCAACACGGCCAGGGGGTCTGGAAGAATGAACTGTGTGGAGAGGTCACCCAGCTGAAGGAAAGCCCATCCCAGGAAGGAGGCTACTCCCCGATAGGGGCAAAGAGTGCTAGATTTCGTCCAGGAAAACTCTGAGAAGAGATAATGCCTGAGGATGCCGCTGGGGAAGGAAACTGATCAGGAAGCTGATAAGTGATTCTAAAGCTGATAAACTGCAGGTGTGGGAGGATGATGTCAGCTAACGGTCCCACAGTGGCCTCAGGAAGTGGGACTGAGGGTGGTCCCAGGGTGCAGAGTCAACATAAGTCCTGTTCCAACCTGGGTATGGCCAGCTGTGTAACCATGGACAAACCTCCACTCCCTGAACAGCCAGTGGGAAGTTGTGAGATCATGGAGGGTGCGTCCTCTAGCCTGCTAAGTGCCTGCCCAGGATGAGCTGAGATTCTTGTTATTGGGAACTCTAGATCCAGGCGTGTCAGAGCAAGACCTATTCACCAGAGGTGGCTCAGACCAACATGCTAATTGGACAGGTAGAAAACTGAGGCTCTGCCAAGGGCAGTCAGCAGGGGAAGGGTATATAGAATGCAATCCTATTAATCCAGGGTTCTCCCCCACCTTCATTACAGGAAGCAGGGGGTCCTTGGGGAATGTGCTCCTCCTGTGTATGTGGACACCAGAAGGAGCTGAGATGGGGTCATATCCCTAGGTGATTTGGGTTAATCCTTGCCCCTTTCTGTGCCATAGCCACTGGATTTGAATGGTGATAGGGAAAATCTGTAACTTTAAGGGTCATCCCAGACCTAGTTGTTTCATGGGGGATGTGGGGAGGGGGTGTTGTTGCAGAATCCAAAGATTTGCTCACCTTCCTGATGGGGATGACATCTTGGAACAGGGAGTTAGCTCCCCTTCATCCGTATGGACTACAGAAGGAGGGACACAGCCACCCATGGACCTAGCTGAGGAAAGTGAGCCCTATGTTCCAACTTGTTCCCAACAGGACAGTCTGGTGTGCTGCAGGACTTGCATATTGCTAGGGTGACACTTAAGGGTCAGAGCTTTCTCTTCAGGATAAGGAGGCTGGATGTGTAGGTTCTAGGGGCAGGACTGGCCCCAGTCCTGGCAGGGGAGATCAATCCTGGGCCAGACCCTGGGAAAAACCAGAACTAAGCCTGGCCCAGATCCCTGTTTGTGGAAAACACCTGCTGACATCTGCCATGGCCCAGTTTCCTAAAATACTCAGGCTTGTCTTCCTACCATCACCTGCCAGGCTCTGCACCTTCCTTTTCCTTCTCCTAGCCCCAGAGCAATCTTTTCTTTTTTTCTTTTTTTTTTTTAAGAGAGAGAGAGAATTTTAATATTTATTTTTTAGTTTTTGGCAGACACAACATCTTTGTTTGTATGTGGTGCTGAGGATCGAACATGGGCCGCACGCATGCCAGGCGAGCTCGCTACCGCTTGAGCCACATCCCCAGCCCCACCAGAGCAATCTTAATGGATCCTATAAGAACTAGGAAAGAGGAAAGAACCAGATTGCAAAACCCAGGTTGCCTGAGTTAAAATAACATTATTGGGATTGTATTCAACTGTCAACTAAGTACCAGGTACTGTGCCCAGAACTTTTCATGTGCATTCTTTATTTTGCCCTGTGAAAGATGTATCACCATTACGGCCATTAATTTTATTTTATTTTAGTTATAAAATTAGTTATAATTTTATTTTTGTTTAGTTATAGGACAATACCTTTATTTTTTTATTTTTATGTGGTGCTGAGGATTGAACCCAGGGCCTCACAAGTGCTAGGCGAGCACTTTGCCGCTGAACCACAATCCCAGCCCAATACGTTTATTTTTTATGTGGTGCTGGGGATCAAACCCTCACACATGCTAGGCAAGCACTATACCACTGAGCTACAACCCCAACCCTATGGCCATGTAGCAGACAAGGTCAGAGATGTTAGGACATTTTCCCAAGGCCCCATAACAAGTAAAGGGCAGGATTTGGACTAAACAGTCTGGCTCTATAGACCAAGAATGTTTGGGTTTTGTTTTTTTGGTACCAGGGATTGAACTCAGGGGCACTCAACCACCGAGTCACATTCCCGGCCCTATTTTATATTTTATTTAGGGACAGGGTCTTACTAAGTTGCTAAGCTCCTTGCCATTGCTGAGGCTGGCTTTGAACTTGCAATCCTCCTGAGTTTTAAAAGTAGGCCACTTTTTCATGTTTTTAAAAAGCACACTGTGTGAGCCAAGAAAACATGTTTGCAAATTGGTGTGGTATGCCAATTTGCAAACTCTAACTTTGGACTTTAGCATCAACTATAATAATAACAGCAAACACTTGCCTAGTGGTTACTGTGTGCCCAGACACTATTCTTAGCACTAGATGTGTATTGTCTCATTTAATTTCTCCAAAAACCTTATACATACTATTAGCAATCTCCATTTTCCAGATAGGAGTTTGAGCCACAGAGAGAACTAAATCACTTGCTGAAGATTCCACAGCTGGCTAGGTATGATGATACACACCTGTAATCCCAACCAATCAAGTAGGCGGTCGAGGCAGAAGGATCACAAGTTCAAGGCTGGCCTGGGCAACATAGTGGGATCCTGCCTCAAAATAAAAAAATAAAAAGAGCTGGGGATGTGGCTCAGTGTTATTGTGCCCCTGGGCTCAATTCCCAGTACTGCAAAGAAAAAAAGAAGGAAAGATTACACAGTTTGTAGGTCAAGAATGAACCTAGGCAGCCCAGAGTCTATGTTTTCTAAACCCTGTTATAACCAGGTAAAACTGTCAGAAACATGTCATCCAGCCCTCTTAATAGGTAGGTAGGGAAACCAAGGCACTGCTCTAGGTCCTAGGGATATAGCAGTCATGGGTCCTAACAGCCACAAAAATTCCTTTACTGTCAAGGAAGTTATGGGCACTCAATCCATCCCCTCTTGTGCCCACAGGTGGCCATGGTGGAGGTACAGCTGGAGAGTGACCATGAATACCCACCAGGCCTGCTGGTAGCCTTTAGTGCCTGTACCACCGTGCTAGTGGCTGTGCACCTCTTTGCACTTATGGTCTCCACATGTCTACTGCCCCACATTGAAGCCGTGAGCAACATCCACAACCTCAACTCTGTTCACCAGTCACCACACCAGCGACTCCACCGCTATGTAGAGCTGGCTTGGGGCTTCTCCACTGCCTTGGGCACCTTTCTCTTCCTGGCTGAAGTTGTCCTGGTGGGCTGGGTCAAGTTTGTGCCCATTGGGGCCCCTCTGGACACATCGGCCCCCATGGTACCTACATCCCATGTGTCTGGGACTCTGCCACCAATGGCTTCCTCCCTTGGTCCAGCTTCCAAACTCCCACCATCCTCAGCTTCTGTAACCCCATCACAGGTTGAGCCTTCTGAGGCCTGCCCTCCCCGGCAGGTATGTGGTAGTAATGGTGGGGTTCACGGACCAGGCTGGCAAGCAGCCATGGCCTCCACAGCAATCATGGTACCTGTGGGCCTTGTGTTTGTGGCCTTTGCCCTACATTTCTACCGCTCCTTAGTGGCCCACAAGACAGACCGCCACAAGCAGGAGCTAGAGGAGCTGAGTCGCCTGCAGGGGGAGCTGCAGGCTGTGTGAATCTAATGTTAGTCTCTGCCGTGTGCACTGCCTCCCTCAGGGCTCTGCAAGAGGCCACAGGGGCCTATAGACCATTCCCCACTCCTGGAGGGAGCCACTTCCTGTGGCCACTCT